TATTTCCTATTTTTTATTAATTCCCCGATCTATTTAGTTATTTGCTATTTTTTAATTTATCTATTTATTTATCTGTTCTATTTACTTATTTATTTATCTATTATTTATGTATCTATTTTATTTATGTTGTTTGTTTTTTATTATTCATTCATTCATTGATCTATTTATCTACCTATTTATTTATTTAGTTATTTTTTATCAGGTACACTCTGTGGCTCCTCGCCTATGTCACGTCGTTTCTCTCAACGTGACCAAGTGTGCTTCAGCCAAGTAAAAATCGAGCTGTGAATTGAATTTAATGGCGAATGTGATAAATAAGCTTTGAATTCTTTGCTGGCAGAGTGAGTGAACGCTTTTCGCGGAGGCTGGAGTGATGAGGTAAGAATGAATGAAGTGGACGAAATGCCTTCAACACTGGAGGGCTTCGAAGCTAATGTGGAAGATATTTGATCTTATAATTAGTATTTTTCCAACGTAGAATTATGATTTAGTGAAAAATTGTCTATGATTTTGGAATAAGTAATCGGTGAATAATACATCTTTTTTTTTTTCGTTCGTTTATAAGCTTTGAAGATGTTTTTAAATCCTTTTTAATAGTGCCGCCTCGCGTCCTTCCACAACGGTGCTCCCTCCCCCCCTTTTCAATAGTGCCCCCATCAGCCCCCCTTGTCACTAGTGCCCCCCTCACCCCCCCCCTTCCCCTCCCCAAAATGGTTCCTCTAGACCCCCTCGAGTGCCCCTTGTCACTCGAATGGCGTGTCTGCGGAATCACCCTTTCGGTCGTTTTTTCTTTCAATAATGACTCTCTGACCTTTCCAAAGGCTGCTTTCCGACACTGGGGATAATTTAGAATATCCTCATTCCCTCCCCCCACCCTCCACCCCCGAAATTTAATACTACATCTGTGGTATCAGTAAGTTTTGGTCCCCCCCCCCCCTCCCCTTCCCCCCTCCCCCTCCTGTCCTCGCGCTTCCTCCCCCCCCTCCCGTCCTCCCTTCCCCTCCCCCGTTTCCCCCTCCCGTCTTTCCCCCCTCCTCCCCTCCCTCTTTGTTGCCCTCCCCTCACCTCGTTGCCCTCCACGCCTCCTCTCCTCACCCTGCCCCTCCTCTCCTCCCCCTTCCCTCCACCTTCTTTGGTTTTCATAGACGTATGTTTGCTCCACGTCTGCTATCTCCTTCTTCGTTTTCAATGACATTTCGTTTTTGTTTCGCATTTTCATTGGACACGGGGGAATCTAAGTAATGGCATTAGCAGCCTATTTCATCAGGATTAAGGTAATAATCTACGTGCCTGACTGATTAAAGTGTGTTTGGAATGAGAAATTGTACTCGTGTGTTTTTGATGGGAGCGAAAAAGTTGTTTATAAATATGGATGAAGAAGAAAAAATAAAGAAGGGAAAGAGGAATGGAAGAAGGAAGAATGAGAAAAAGAATAAAAAAAGTCGCGAAGGCAAAGAAAGAGAATTGATTAAAGAAAAGAAGAAAAAACCAACAAATGAATAGGAAAAAGAAAAAGGGTGAGGAAACGAAAAAAAAAAAAAATAAATACACTGCATCAATCCAAAGTAATACCGGTTTTCATAGCAAGTAGATTGTTCTTTAGTACCTGTTTCATAAAAGAAATATCTGCTATATTCGTGTTCGCTGTGTTACATAGGATAATATGTACTAGCCTTTCCGCAGCGAGATTCTGTGGTATCTTAGATCTTTTGCATGGCAGAAACTTCTATATTTTTTTTTCATCTGTTCTGGGAAAGCACCTTTTTTTTTTTTCCATTAGCATGAAATTGTTCTTTTGCCCGCGTTTTGTTTTTTTCTTCTTTTTTTTTCTTTTTTTTTTTGGCCATGATGGTTGGCTAGAATGGCACAAAACATCGCATGGATAATTATAAAGAAAACAAAATAAAAAAAACTGACTAAAAATGACACTTTGGACAATGCAAGTTCTAGGTTTTAAATCCTAAACCGAATGTACATATTATTCTATAAAATTAATCATTATCAGCCATTCATTATCTTTCGTTTCAACAGTCAACGCTCCCTACGCAGTTCCGGACCAGTTACGACTCCCGCTCGGTTGGTAAGTGGAATGCGGCTTTTTTGGTGAGGGGGGGGGGGGATGGGTATAATTGAAATGATTTTATAGTTCGGAAGTTATTGGCACTTTTTCCAGTCTGATTGAAATTTGATTTCACAGGTAATTGAGTTGATTGTAGTGTATGGACACACGTACTTCCGAATGATTTAATACACGTTGGGTTTTACAAGCCGAGGCAGATCTTTAGTCTAATGAAGTGGTACCTGACGCAGTGACGGAAATGGTAAATGCGCAACCTTTACGGTGACGGAGCAGCGGGGCCGGCGGGAACTTTCAAGGAATTTTGAATGTGCCGTTCGGGGATGTGAGGCTCGTGGACTTTTTGCTGCAGCTGTCAGCTCCGCGAAGGACAATTTTCAGGTTGGCGAATTACTGTAATTAGGAAATGTAACATAAGTGTGTGTGTCTGTTGTGGGTGTGTGTGTGTGTGTTGTGGGTGGCGTGTGTGTGTGTGTGTACATACATACCACCACAGACATATACGTTTTACGTCAATAGAGATTTTTACTGTGTGCTGTGGTATTGGAAATTTGACATTTCGGATCACATATCTCATCTTCCACTGCAATTAAATTCCTAAACTTACTTTACTTCATCTTATACAACGACCATTTCTCTGTCCTCCTTCCTCTCCTCAACACAAAGTCGTGAACCGCGAACGTGGCCACCCACCTCTGGCACCATCATCGCGCTCACCAACAAAAGCTACAATGGCGTCCAGAAGCCCGCCGCCGTGCTTGAATTAGCATACTGATAACCTACTCCGGCAGTATTTCCAAGCATCACCTCTCTTGATTTTATGACAAAGAGCTTGGGGCTTTGTGAAACTGGCTGCCTACGCCCACTAAGTTCCTTAATGCACTGGTGTGTTAGCTTTACGGACACACCAGTTTGGTTAATCATATTACCAAGGCATACTTTATGTATACTGTACCGATGACATCACCTCCTTGGAATATTATTCCCTGCAACTGTCAAATGTTGTGATAATTTTTCAGGTTCGTGGTGATATATTATGATTTTTTTCTTAAATACATTCAAAGTAACTAATTCGTTTGTGGGACTCATTCATGTCGATAAGAAAAGCAGCAAAATTTGTGAATACAGTTGTGTTGCATGAACGGATAATCTGGAATGACCTATCTAACTACAGATTATGAACTGTATAGCGTTGTCCCCAAGTCCTTATCACTGGACGTATGATGTATTTTAGAATGTTGAAACAATTGTGTAAGAAATAAGTGCCACCACGTTGCACTGTATGTGATAAATTCTTGCATTATGTGTAATTGCCCAGAACTCGCAGAAAAAAAAATAATACATACCCTTCCTTTAAAACATATATATATAATTCACTGCATCTTGATCACCCATTTTCAATGCTGTTTCAACATAAATCTTTTACATATATGACGACTGGATGACAGTTATAACCCACTTCATCAGGTCACCTTGAGTTATCCCCAAGCTAGGTACTTAGGTTTTTTGTATATGGTCTATAGCAGGTAAAGACTTAACTCATACGCATCTTTCAGTCAAAGATCAATGCACAGAGTAAACCTGGTACTTTGTTTAGAATTCTAGTCGTGTAAGACTCTCCCCATGTGTCTATGTGATTTCACTTAACTCAGCGGTTCTTAGGAGTCGTTTGGGCTTATGTAGTGTGACATCTTAAAATAAAATTGCGCTTTTTATTAATTTTTGTCTATGCAAAGTTCACCATCCAACATATATCATGGGAATCACGGTAATACCATCGAGAGTCTTTGGGGATACAGGACAAAAAAGGTTTTAAAGAATCTCCCTGGCTTCAGTTCTATAACTTCCTATTTGCTATTGACTCGTGACTCACATTAACTCGAGCAAAGGTCAGTTCAATTGTTCACTCAACCCTTAAAGATCTGTTCACATCAACACCTCTTCACCTCACCTCATTTGGGGTTTCCAGCGTAGAATTATTCGTTCACTTGTCTACCTTTTTTCTACATGCATTTGAAAGCTTGTGCAGGTAAGCACAACTCTTACCACACACAGTTAGCCAATTCTGGCCATTTCTGACTGGCACATCATACTTTACCCTCTAGTTACACAATACATATATAGTATAACAATACTTCTTCCTTTCCTTTTTCATACTGTTAACTGAAGGTGGCAGCAAATGTGGCAAACCCACCCTGGCACTTCATCACCTCTCTAACAGGATTACATGGAGTTCGGCAGCTGGCACAACACTCGAGTTGGGTATTATTGTGACCGACTCAGGGGCTATTCCAGACATCATTTCTGTGAGCTTCATGATCAATTGCTGGAGACTGTGGAGGTTCTTCAACTCCACCCACCAGCACCAACAACTGATCCTAACTTCTGCCACCCACTCCAGCTCCCCCTCCAGCTCCAACCACTGCACCACTCCACTCCAACTACAGCACCCACTCCAGCTCCAACCACTGCCAACCTACTCCAGCTCCAACCACTGCACCCACTCCAGCTCCAACCACTGCAACCCACTCCCGCTCCAACCACTGCACCCACTCCAGCTCCCACTCCAGCTCCAACCACTGCACCCACTCCAGCTCCAACCTCTGCCCCCACTCCACTCCCTCCTGCGCCCCACTTCAAGTCAACTACGTCGCTGACCACGAACGACAGGTAAAAAGATATTACATATATATGCCTTAAAAATCATGAAGTTACACTTTTTCATGATCTTTTACAAATTTGTTAATGCATATGCAAATCTACCGTATCCCATCGAGATTTCAAACTTGCCATATTACAAAGAATTACAATACAGACCAAGTCCTGGATGCATTGCTCCTGGACAACTACCGACTACATGAGTTCTTCACAAGTCCCTGCGGTTTTTACCGAAGCCAGCGATCTAAGCGCACTAATGCACAGCGTGTCACCTGGCGCAAGGACTCTGCCCTGGGCGACGCCAAGGACAGTGTGACCAACGTCCAGCTAGACTTAACAGGAGGATATTATGATGGTTAGTGTGTAGCATCTAAAACATAAATGTTCACACTATTTTTATAGTTTGTATATTTCCAAGTCCACAGAATTTGAAAATGAATATTTCTATACCATTAATGTATATGTGATTTCTTTGTAAACAGCTGGCGATTATGGCAAATTTGGATATCCAATGTCAAGTATGACAACAGTGTTAGCATGGGGAGCCATCGACTATAGCACTGCCTATATACAAGCAGGTAATTCACCAAGGATTGTATTTTCAAAAACTATTTTACGTGAATATTTAGAAATATTTTGCATGTTCTAAACAAGTTTAGTGAATAATCGAACCAACTGATTTCAGGGGAAATGTCGTACATGAAGGAGGCTGTCAAGTGGGCGACAGACTATTTCCTTAAGGCACACGTGAGTCCAACAGTGTTGTACGGCCAAGTAGGCAATGGTCAGCTTGACCATTCTTTCTGGGCCGACCAGAGGATATGACTATGGACAGACCAGCCTACAAGATCACTGAAGCCAATCCCGGTTCTGACTTGGTGGCCGAGACTTCTGCTGCCCTGGCTGCCGCCTCCATTCTCTTCAAAGATTCCAACCCTGCATATTCTGCCGAATGTCTTCAACACTCTCGGGACCTTTATGACTTTGCCGATAATTTCAGAGGGGACTATGATGCTACGATCCCTGGTGTTTCCGAATTTTATGCCAGCTACGGCTACTACGACGAATTAGCATGGGCTGCTGCCTGGCTTTACCGTGCCACAGGTGAGACTAGCTATTTAACGGCAGCCAAGAATCATTACCAGCAACTTTCAACAAGTCCTTGGGAATTTTCTTGGGCTGATAAGACTCCTGGAGTGCAGGTATTATTGGCACAATTTGCTGATGAAGCGGATAAAGCCACATATGTGAATCATGTGACCAGCTTCTGTAACGACATCGTAGAAAACAGGGCAAGAACACCCAAAGGATTGTTGTACTTGAGTAAGTGGGGCTCCCTCCGATATGCAGCTAACGCAGCCTTTATCTGCCTAAGAGCTGCAGACTTGGGCATCAACCCTGCGAAATACCGAGACTTTGGCAAGCAACAGATCCACTACATGTTAGGCGACACTGGACGAAGCTACGTGGTTGGTTTTGGCGTGAACCCTCCGCTGCGGCCACATCACGCCAGCAGCTCTTGTAAACCTGCTCCAGCAACCTGTGACTGGACAGACTTCCATTCACCGGATCCTAACCCTCACGTGCTGTACGGAGCCTTGGTGGGAGGCCCTGATGCCAACGACTGGTACGAGGACAAACGTGACGACTATATCAAGAATGAAGTTGCCACAGACTACAATGCAGGCTTCCAATCTGCTGTAGCTGCTCTTCGCTCCCTTACTGATTGTGGTGGAGTGACAGCAGCCCCTACGCCCGCACCCACCTCGGCTCCCACGCTAGCACCCACCTCGGCTCCCACACCAGCTCCCACCCCCGCACCCACTCCAGCACCCACCACACCGAACACAAGCGGAGGGAGTGGCAGCTGCTTCAGATTTGTCAAAGCCAACAGTTGGAACGGTAACTACGATGGAACATTGTACGTGACTATCCCCAGTGATGTAGGGTCTTGGAGCATCGACCTTCAGTTATCATCATCGGTGGACAATTTCCAGGTCAGTATCAAATTTACAAATTAACATTTGCTTAAAAGTAAGATAACTGTGAATATATGCCTTCTTTAGATTGTGGGACCTAAAAAAATCAATGGATATTTGTAGCCATTTACAAATTCAAGAACAGAAGTGATATACAACAATGTAGACACGACATTTATCAGGAACGATGGGGAATGCTGGCGGTAGACCGTGATTATAAAAGGGATGAAAACCACTAACACAACAGCCAATTTCATGAGTCAGCAAAATAATAGGTTTACATGCTAAACATTCACTCTCATCGTTCCCTGTTCTCTGCACCGAAGGCGTGGACCGCGAACGTGGCACCCACCTCTGGCACCTCCATCACGCTCACCAACAAAAACTACAATGGAGTCCAAACTGCTGGCACAACGCTTGAGTTGGGCATCTTGCTGACCTTCTCGGGAACTACTCCAGCCATCTCGGCCGCGACATTCAATGGTGAAACCCTTGCAAGTTGCAGCGCTACCTCGGCTCCTTCCACCCCAGCTCCAACTCCGGCTTCGACTCCAGACACTACTGTGAACCCTGGAACTGGTAATGAAAAGGATGACATTCTCTTTTACACAATTCCTTGCCCTGGACTTTTGTTGTTCGTTTTATGCGTTATGTATATCGACAAATATATGAAGAACTATTTCGAGCACTGGGATGTGAAATGAGGGTAATGCAACCTTTCCGCATAAGATTTTTAATAAAGACTATAAAACTACTCAACAAAGTCCAGCACGATTCCTGAAGAGTAAATATACTTTCGATATCCAAATGAAGTTACATCAGTTTGAGGTCAGGAGAAAAGTAATTATTTAACTGAAATTTTCCTTACAGCAGAACCTAGTACCCAAGCACCAGGTTCTGGGTGTGTTGCTCCTGGGACAAACTACGATTACGATGAAGTTCTTCACAAGTCCCTGCTGTTTTACGAAGCTCAGCGATCTGGAGATCTGCCAGATTCACAGCGTGTCACCTGGCGCAAGGACTCTGCCCTGGGCGACGCCAAGGACAGTGTAACCAACGTCCAGCTTGATTTAACAGGAGGATATTATGATGGTTAGTGTGTAGCATCTAAAACATAAATGTTCACACTATTTTTATAGAGTGCTTTTGCTTTTCATTACAAGCAAGTCCACAGAATTTGAAAATGAATATATCTATACCATTAATGTATATGTGATTTCTTTGTAAACAGCTGGCGATTATGGCAAATTTGGATATCCAATGTCAAGTATGACAACAGTGTTAGCATGGGGAGCCATCGACTATAGCACTGCCTATATACAAGCAGGTATTTCACCAAGGATTGTATTTTCAAAAACTATTTTACGTGAATATTTAGAAATATTTTGCATGTTCTAAACAAGTTTAGTGAATAATCGAACCAACTGATTTCAGGGGAAATGTCGTACATGAAGGAGGCTGTCAAGTGGGCGACAGACTATTTCCTTAAGGCACACGTGAGTCCTACAGTGTTGTACGGCCAAGTAGGCAATGGTCAGCTTGACCATTCTTTCTGGGGCCGACCAGAGGATATGACTATGGACAGACCAGCCTACAAGATCACTGAAGCCAATCCCGGTTCTGACTTGGTGGCCGAGACTTCTGCTGCACTGGCTGCCGCCTCCATTCTCTTCAAAGATTCCAACCCTGCATATTCTGCCGAATGTCTTCAACACTCTCGGGACCTTTATGACTTTGCCGATAATTTCAGAGGGGACTATGATGCTACGATCCCTGGTGTTTCCGAATTTTATGCCAGCTACGGCTACTACGACGAATTAGCATGGGCTGCTGCCTGGCTTTACCGTGCCACAGGTGAGACTAGCTATTTAACGGCAGCCAAGAATCATTACCAGCAACTTTCAACAAGTCCTTGGGAATTTTCTTGGGCTGATAAGACTCCTGGAGTGCAGGTATTATTGGCACAATTTGCTGATGAAGCGGATAAAGCCACATATGTGAATCATGTGACCAGCTTCTGTAACGACATCGTAGAAAACAGGGCAAGAACACCCAAAGGATTGTTGTACTTGAGTAAGTGGGGCTCCCTCCGATATGCAGCTAACGCAGCCTTTATCTGCCTAAGAGCTGCAGACTTGGGCATCAACCCTGCGAAATACCGAGACTTTGGCAAGCAACAGATCCACTACATGTTAGGCGACACTGGACGAAGCTACGTGGTTGGTTTTGGCGTGAACCCTCCGCGTGCGGCCACATCACGCCAGCAGCTCTTGTAAACCTGCTCCAGCAACCTGTGACTGGACAGACTTCCATTCACCGGATCCTAACCCTCACGTGCTGTACGGAGCCTTGGTGGGAGGCCCTGATGCCAACGACTGGTACGAGGACAAACGTGACGACTATATCAAGAATGAAGTTGCCACAGACTACAATGCAGGCTTCCAATCTGCTGTAGCTGCTCTTCGCTCCCTTACGATTGTGGTGGAGTGACAGCAGCCCCCACTCCAGCACCTACCCCTGCACCCACCTCTGCACCTACCCCGCTCCAACCCCAGAGCCTACCGCAAACCCAGGAACTGGTAAGTAAATGATATCCTTGCTATTTTGTCTGTCAGACTTTTTTTCCTTCCGAATTTTCGTATTCTATGGAAGCATCTAAACATACCAAAAATTATGTATAATATAAATAAAAGAAAAAAATGACTTTAAGAAAGCCAAACTACATGCAAGTGAATCGACCATTTAAAGGTAGATATGAGTTCTAACTGAAGTATAAATGTATGCCAACAGAGGTTTTTAGGTTTCCTATGTCCCTCCAAATTGAAATAGTCTATTGTAACGGAAAATGCATTTCTTAAATGAAATATTTCTCACAGAAGTACCTAGTACCCAAGCACAGGTTCTGGGTGCGTTGCTCCTGGGACAAAGCTACGACTACGATGATGTTCTTCAAAAGTCCCTGCTGTTTTACGAAGCTCAGCGATCGGAGTCTGCCAGATTCACAGCGTGTCACTGGCGCAAGGGCTCTGCCCTGGGCGACGCCAAGGACAGTTGTGACCAACGTCCAGCTAGGACTTAACCGAGAGGAGATTATGATGGTTAGACTTTATCATCTAAAACTTAAATGTTCACACTATTGTTATAGTTTGTATATTTCCAATGTCCACCAGAATTTGAAAATGAATATTTCTATTACTCATTTATTGTATATTTGATTTCTTTGTAAACAGCTGGCGATTATGGGCAATTTGGATATCCAATGTCAAGTATGACAACAGAGTTAGCATGGGGAAGCCCATCGACTATAGCACTGCCTATATACAAGCAGGTAATTCACCAAGGATTGTATTTCAAAAACTATTTTACGTGATATTTTAGATATATTTTGACATGTTCTTAAACAAGTTTAGTGAATAATCGAAAACCAATGATTTACAGGGGAAATGTCTGTAATGAAGGAGGCTGGTAAGTGGGCGACTGACTATTTTCTTAATGGACACTCGTGAGTCCTACAGTGTTGTACGGCAAAGAGGCAATGGTCAGCTTGACCATTCTTTCTGGGGCCCGACCAGAGGATATAGGAACTCTATGGGACAGACCAGCCTTCATGTTCACTGAAGCCAATCCCGGTTCTGACTTGGTGGCCGACGACGTTCTGCTGCACTGGCTGCAGCTCCATTTCTTCAAAGATTCCAAAACCCTGATATTCTGCCGAATGTCTTCAACACTCTCGGGGACTTTATGACTTTGCCGATTATTTCAGAGGGGACTATGATGCTACAATCCCTGGTGTTTCCGAATTTTATGCCAGCTACGGCTACTACGACGAATTAGCATGGGCTGCTGCCTGGCTCTTACCGTTGCCACAGGTGAGACATAGCTATTTAACGGCAGCCGAGAATCATTCCAGCAACTTTCAACAAGTCCTTGGAATTTCTCTTGGGCTGATAAGACTCCTGGAGTGCAGGTATTATTGGCACAATTTGCTGATGAGCGGATAAAGCCACATATGTGAATCATGTGACCAGCTTCTGTAACGACATCGTAGAGAAACAGGGCAAGAACACCCAAAGGTTGTTGTACTTGAGTAAGTGGGGCTCCCTCCGATATGCAGCTAACGCAGCCTTATCTGCCTAAAGAGCTGCAGACTTGGGCATCAAACCCTGCGAAATACCGAGGACTTTGGCAAGCAACAGATCCACTACATGTTAGGCGACACTGGACGAAGCTACGTGGTTGGTTTTGGCGTGAACCCTCCGCTGCGGCCACATCACGCCAGCAGCTCTTGTAAACCTGCTCCAGCAACCTGTGACTGGACAGACTTCCATTCACCGGATCCTAACCCTCACGTGCTGTACGGAGCCTTGGTGGGAGGCCCTGATGCCAACGACTGGTACGAGGACAAACGTGACGACTATATCAAGAATGAAGTTGCCACAGACTACAATGCAGGCTTCCAATCTGCTGTAGCTGCTCTTCGCTCCCTTACTGATTGTGGTGGAGTGACAGCAGCCCCTACGCCCGCACCCACCTCGGCTCCCACGCTAGCACCCACCTCGGCTCCCACACCAGCTCCCACCCCCGCACCCACTCCAGCACCCACCACACCGAACACAAGCGGAGGGAGTGGCAGCTGCTTCAGATTTGTCAAAGCCAACAGTTGGAACGGTAACTACGATGGAACATTGTACGTGACTATCCCCAGTGATGTAGGGTCTTGGAGCATCGACCTTCAGTTATCATCATCGGTGGACAATTTCCAGGTCAGTATCAAATTTACAAATTAACATTTGCTTAAAAGTAAGATAACTGTGAATATATGCCTTCTTTAGATTGTGGGACCTAAAAAAATCAATGGATATTTGTAAGCCATTTACAAATTCAAGAACAGAAGTGATATACAACAATGTAGACACGACATTTATCAGGAACGATGGGGAATGCTGGCGGTAGACCGTGATTATAAAAGGGATGAAAACCACTAACACAACAGCCAATTTCATGAGTCAGCAAAATAATAGGTTTACATGCTAAACATTCACTCTCATCGTTCCCTGTTCTCTGCACCGAAGGCGTGGACCGCGAACGTGGCACCCACCTCTGGCACCTCCATCACGCTCACCAACAAAAACTACAATGGAGTCCAAACTGCTGGCACAACGCTTGAGTTGGGCATCTTGCTGACCTTCTCGGGAACTACTCCAGCCATCACGGCCGCGACATTCAATGGTGAAACCCTTGCAAGTTGCGGCGCTACCTCGGCTCCTTCCACCCCAGCTCCAACTCCGGCTTCGACTCCAGACACTACTGTGAACCCTGGAACTGGTAATGAAAAGGATGACATTCTCTTTTACACAATTCCTTGCCCTGGACTTTCGTTGTTCGTTTTATGCGTTATGTATATCGA